TGAGAGTAAAAACCAGGTCTTGGACTTAAGACAGAAGGATAGGTAAGAATTAAAGACACTGAATGAAAAAACCTTTGGTGAAATCAACCTATAAAGTGCTCAAGAGAGGGAAGCAACCTGAACAGGATAAGAGATTGAAAGGTTATTATTTTAAAGACAGGAGGCACTTGGGATGATTTAAATTACTTAGATTTTGCTGAGTACTCATATGTTATCTCATTCAAACCTCACTGTAACCCTGAGGAAGTTTTCCCACTCTACAAATGTGGTAAATGAACTGAGGCCAAAAGACAAGAACACAGGGGAAAATGGGGGATAGGGTTTTAAAGAGGAATCAGAGGTATTTCTTCCTTCTTTGTGTTACTGCTAGCACTCCATTATGCAAAAGGTATAAGTAGGAAGACATGGAAACGAGAAGAAAAAGGGGATTGGAAAAATATACCCATACTTTCAAAGTCTCTGTTAGGTTCTAGAACTCTTAGACACTTTAAGTACTTTATCATTTGTAATCATTCCTACTAACTCCCAAGGCAGGTGATATTACAAAATTTCATCCTAAAGTTAGAAAGGGTTCTGAGGTTGAGAAAGGTTACACCTTCACTAGGTCACACAAACAGTGACAACATGTGGATCTGAACTTGGATCTGAAGATACTCATGGCTTGTATCTAAATGTCCCCACAGAGCTTCATGCCGTCATAGGTGGGACTTTTTGGAGGAGGCTGAATCTAGGGTGTGTGATACTGGGATTAACGGCCTGATGCTATGATTAATGGTGCTCCTAGGTATGAGAATTACCTGTCCTAAGGGCAAGTAGCCTGCATAGAATATAAGGACTAGAAAGAGTTCTGCTGTGGTCACTTGATGCTGCTGCTGCTGCTTCTGTTGCTTGCTGCTACTTGAATTCTGCTGCCTCCTGCCTGCTTTGGGATGGCCTTCTGCCATGCCACCATGCCTTGGAGCCAGATGATTATGGGCTGAAACATCTAAAAACTGTGAACTACAATAAACCTTTCCTCTGCTGACTTTGGGTGTATTTTGTCTTAGCAATGAGAAAAGTAACTAGGACAGATTTTAAGGTACATTCTCACCACTTCTAGTGAGTTCTTCACCTCAGTTTCTTGGCCCTTATCCCCCAGGAACACCTACCAGTCTCCATGCCTACCTCTCATATATGACTATTGCTTTCCCTCCAGTCTGTGTCCACTCAAACTCCACACAGCTCATCGTATTGCCCTTGGGTTAGGAATTCCTCCATGGTTTGTGACAATATACCCAGAGAAAGTGAATCTGAAGGTAGCACACTAAGGCCTTCCTTTTGACTCAATCCTAAGTAATTTAAAAGATATATTTTATATTAAAGAAAACACAGAGACGTTCAACAAACCACAAAACTCACATGAATTTCTGAAATAAAACATGAAACTTTAATGAAATGTCTTCATTACAGTTGCCACTTCAGACTCCATCCAGCTGCTGTTTAGACTATTTCAGTGGAAAAATATGAAGAGAAACTATCAAACAGGGTTGAATGGAGTTACAGAACTTAGAGTCTGTCCTATTGGTCTTCCAGGCTCAGCTAAACCCACTTCCCCACAAGAACTTCACTAGATGCTCCTACTATATCGCTTCAGTTTTCCCTCTTATCCCCTCTACTTTCCATGCACCTTGGAATGGGCTTCCACTCATTTATCTGAAACATGCCCATCTACCACGAAGTCTTCTGAGATCACAGTCAGGTTCCTTCCACTAAGCTTCTACATTAGGACATTTGTCACAGCTACTATGCATTGTTGTACTATCCACCCATGGTATAGGGTTTGTCTCACAAGTTGCTTGCGAATAAAGACTGCATATCTCATATCTTTGTGCTCCTATGCTTGGAACAAGATATCATTCCCAGAAAAATAAAAAACAATAGCAACACCAACGTAGAGAGGTTTATTCCCAGTTCTGGGGATTGAATCCAGGGAGTACTAAACTACATCCTCAGACTTTTTTATTTATTATTTTGAGGAAGGATCTTGCCAAATTCCCACCCTCAGTTTGAACTTGCAATTCTTCTGCCTTAGCCTCCCAAGTAGCCAGGTGTTATGATTTGTGTCTAGATGTACCCCCAAACCTCATGCAGCCAGTGGGCTTTTTGGAGGTGGCTGAATCTACAATGTGATTGGTGGTGCAATGCTGGGATTGAGGGTGCTGGGATTAAGGATGTGAGTGGTACACCCACCCTAGGTTGCTAGCCTGCATAAGGGACAAAAAGAATCTTGTTGCTTACTTGTTGCTTTTGCTGTTTTCTGGAATCATGAATTGTTGATCTTTTGCCGTGTGCCACTCTGATTTGAAGCCAGTTGGTTATGAACTGAAACCTCTACAAACTGTGAGCTAAATAAACATTTCCTCCCTTAATTGGTGGGTGTTAGGTATTTTATCTTAGCAACAAGAAAAGTAACTAAGACACCAGCATCACAGGAATATACTACCACACCCAGCTGCCAATGTAATTCAATTAGCATACCAATATATGATCTCACTTAAACCTCATAGAAACCCACATGGGAGTTTTCTTATTCTTTACAGAAGTGAAAACTGACACTTAGGGAGGCTCCTCTTTCAGGGGTCCATAGAAAGAAAGAGACACCACCATTCTGATTCCAGAGCCGGTGCTCTCAGCCACTGTGCTAAGCAAGTGCCCAACAAATGTTTACTTGTTGACAAGTAAACTTCTTCCTCATTTTGAAATGGGAGCAGAGACCATGGCCTTCATAAACTCCATGCAGAACCCACAAAATCATTAGACATAATAAAATATTTGTTGAATTAAATTACTGCATTTTTGAATAGTTTTTTAGGCTACATCAGAAAGCTAGAACATCACTGCTAGTTCTAAAATAGTCTCCTCCTGATATCTAGACCTTAACACTTTTTGTATAACTCTCACTGACCACAAATTAAAGAAAATTTTTGAATAGTGCCCTCCATCCTCCTTGTTGATGCCCCTTTCCATCGCCCAGTGCTCTTGTAGGTCCTCTGTCACACTCAAGTGTTTTCCTTCAAACCACTTCTCAGATTCCTTCCCTTAAAATGCCCCAAGCCCTAAAATCCTTTTTATCTCTACCTGCTTTACCCTTCAGTCATATTCCCCCTCTTCCCAGTAAGGTCTGTTTCGTTTTAAAGGAAGAATTTAGTAGTCTAAAAAATCTCCAAAATGAAGATGAGCAAGACAGAAATTATAGAGTGCTTGGGGAGGAAACTTGGAGGAGAGAATCCAAACCCTCTGTTGTGTCCCTAGTGTTTCTTCTCTATATTCTATCCAATTTGTCATACAAATCAGAAGAAAGTCGTCCTTCAATTTTATGCCACATGTGATTAGATGCCTACTCCCACTTCCACTTCCTTCCCTCTCCCAGCAGTAAATCTTCATTAATACTTGCTACTTTTTTGTCAGTACTGGACATTGAACCCAAGACTTTTGCACTGAGCTATACTCTCAGCCCTTTTCTTATTTCTCATTTTAAGCAAGCTCTTCTTAAATCACTAAGTTGCTTAAACCAGGGATGGTAATGCATGCCTATAATCTCAGCATTCTAGGACACTGAGGTAGGAAAATACTAGCTAAATTCTATTTTTTTTTTTTTTTTAGTTAGGGTCTCACTATATAGTTCAGACTGGCCTTGAACTCATTATGTAGCTCAGGCTGGCCTCATACTCATGGCCATCCTCCTGCCTCAGCCTCCTGAGTGCTGGGATTACAGGCATGTGCCACCATGCCCAGCTTACATTCTAAATTTTAAAGTGACTTGACAGTTCTTTGAAGTAATGGTACTAATTCCATTATCTTTTCAGAGAGAAAAGTCTGTTATGACAAATAAAACAGTGTGAGGTATTCAGAGCTACTCATAAGCAGCAATGCCCTGGGAATGCTCTCCCTTCTGCTCAGCTCACAATATGCCATTCTCTCAGCCCTGCACTGATTGTGAACTGAGATTTCCTCCAGCCCTGCCTAACTGGGGTTTTACTAAGGCATTAACCATGTTTAAACGTGTATTCTTAATCAGAAAGATCACTAGAAGACAAATGTCACTTTCCTATTATGTGCCTGCCTTAAAAACTCTAGACAGCTTTCTTTTTCCTAGTTCAGACTTGCTTATGTCTTTCCAGAGAGTATGCTATTTCCCAGTGGCTCTGAGAAAAGCAAAAAAGCCAAGATCCTTGGGACTGTATTACTGTCTTTGTTCTAGATCTCAGGAGTGATCCAATAAGAAAAAGAAGTCATATCCTGTGGCATTACCAAGGCCAGTGGTCATGCCACATACAAGGACAGAACTCTTATCTACCGGAGATGAGGTCTCACACATGGATATACACTTTCCACCTCTGCTACAGCCTCCCCTCCACCCACCTTAATCATGCTATTCCACCTCTCAAGTCTCTATTTCCAATCTAAAAAGGGCTCTCTCCTCCTGTCTACTCAGTTAATGTTACCTAGCCCTCCTAAGTCCAGTCTTCAAGCTACCTGTCTCTCTTTTTTTTTTTTTCCCCGGTACCGGCAATCGAACTCACGACCTTGCGCTTGCCAGGCAGGCACTGTGCCGCTGAGCTAAATCCCCAGCCCCATACCTGTCTCTTTTTTGAAGCCTCCACTGACCACTTAAGTGACTTTCTTCTGAAATTCACAGATGGCAACATATGCTCACTCTCTATCACTCCTGGAGACTCCTCCAAAGTAACGGAATAGAATAGTTTGTGACCTTTGCCTGTGGTGTTTGTCTTTCCTTCTCTACATGAATTTCCTGGGACGGCAGAGAGAACGTTGTCCGTGTTTGAATGCTCCACCATTCCTAATGAGGAACATATAGATGGAAGACCCAAGAGTAATATTTCCTGAATAAATGAGGGGGCATGACATCGTTATCCGTTCATAGTAACTAGTGATAGTTGTTGCTATTGGGAAAATCAAGACAAACACAGGAGGTGCGCTATAAGACTTAAAGAACTCAGTAAGTTTAAGAAATTCCTCTTGGGCAGGCTTTATTTGTTTGGGAAGAGGGAAGACCTCCTCAGCCCCACCCCCAGCCTACTTGACAACTTTCAGGCGGACGGAACTATTGAGCTGACGGCAGCCAGGAAGACTTTGGATGACGTTCCGGACTGGGCGGAAGTGAGGGAATAAGAAGGGTGGAACACTGCGCCGCCGGAAGATGTCACGTTTCCGGTCCCACAGCGTCTCCACGCCCCCACTCCCCACAGAAAGTGGCTTTTGAGGCAGTGACAGACGCTTGCCTCAGTGCTGTGGACCCGCGCTTCCCGCTGCGGAACTGGCTGCAAAGCGGGGCGTGGCCGCATTAGGGAGCCTGACGAGGCCGCAGGGGCAGTTTCGGACCAGAAGTCACGCCATCCTGGCAGGGCTTCGGTCCAGGTTTTCAGGCAGAGGCTGGGGAACATCTGTAATGCCGGGTTTCTAGGCAGAGTGAGTCTTTCTTACGGGCAAGTCTGGAGCCGGCTGCGCGGTTCTTTCCTGAAAATCCACTTCTGAACTCCCTTGGGTTAAAACGTTGCCTTCTTTAAGAACCTTGTTTAAAAGTGAATTGTAATATAAACTGGTACAACCACTTTTTTTCCCTTATAGGTTGTTGAAAGCTTAGCACTGAGATGTTGGCATTCTTGAGAGGAAGGAAGAGAGGCAAGGCTATTTTTTGTGGTCTGCTTTGAAGGCGTGGCGAATCCCTTGCTTGGCGAGTTTGCCCTGCTGCTTAGTTGTCTGACCTTGGTTAGTACTTCCTGTGTCCCAGTAGCTCATCTGAAAGGAAAGGTCAGACTAGAGCGGTGCTTTTCAAAGTTGGTTAGGAACTAGAAATGCAAGAGTATAGGGCTAGCCTTAGACCAGCTGAATCAGAAAAAGCAATCTGCCTTTTGAGAGCCCTCCATGTGATTCACGTTCGTGCTCAAATTTAAGACCTGCTGGACCAAATAAACCCAAGGGAATCAATCAGAGAGGAAAGAGCTCATACTTGTTAGTGTGGTTCAGAAGGCTACTCAAGACCCTCACTAATCTGGTACCAGTAACTATCCAATCTCTCAAATCAGCAGGACGACTCATCTACATAAAACTGCTAAAAATTCCGTAAGGGAACTTGCTCTTTGAATCTTGTGTCTTTAAATACCCTGTTTTTTGTGGGGGAGGGGGGACGTTTTCTTCCATTATCTGTCCATCTCCTTTTTGTTCTTTGAGATTTGTTTTAGTGTCACTTCTTTCAAAAAGGCCTCCTAATACTTCCTTTCCTCGGTTAGATGTCTTCCTCTTCTGCTCTTGTGGCACCTTACAGTTATCTCTGTTATAGGCACTTTATCATTTTTATCAGCCCCCCTCTCCCAGCTATGTGAGGGCAGAAATTACTTTCCCTCTGCACACAGTGCCAGCTGCATAATATGCCCTTAATATGTCATTGCATGAGTGAGTCCTCCCCGAGGGCTCAGATAATGACTTGAGTATTTTTAATCTCTTAGTCATTGATACAGTGTGTTCTTCATATAATAAATTCCCAGCGATTGCTGATCCATCAGTGCTTCTTACTCTTGGTGACTGTTTATAGTGCATTACGTTAACCACGTTCTGAGCCCATATCTATTAACCCTTTTGAGCTCAGCAATATTGTGAATTATGCTAGAGTAAGTACTGCTTTAAGCACTTTAACAACTGAGAAATGACTCATATTAAGTTGCCTTCTGTGGTTACTTATTTCTGTAAAAATTATTTGTTGGCTTCTCTGTGCAAGGCATTGTGATACACATACAGGAGATATAAAAGTTATGGATGATATGATCTTTTGTTCTCCAGAAACTTTATTCTAGGAAAAATAAAACTTATCTAAGTGACCCCAATATAAGACAGTATACAGTGAATCCACCCTTGAGTGAGCTGGTCCATCAAAGCTCTAGAAGTTTGGTGGACAGAGTAGGTGACAGAGTAGGGTAGACACAAGTGTGACACAGCCAGAAATTACATGATGACGGCATCACGACTAAGTATTTTTATTACCTCTTGTGTTTTTTCTTATTTGTATTGTCCTTGTTCCTCATTTGTGCACTTATTTGTTTATTGTGAGTTGGAGATTACATTTGAAGAATATCTTTAGAACTCATTTAAGATAGGATTTTCATTTGCTATACCAGGCATTTGGAGCAGTAGTAATCCATGATCCATTTAATCCACAGTCAAATCTTGAGACTTTTTAGGTCCCCCAGATAACTAAGCTAAAATGAAGGTACACCTTTATGTGAAGACATTTTACTTCTAGTTTGCTTCAAACTCATACTGCAGCCCTTTGGGGGGTGCTACTGTAAGTGCCCAGTATCTTTCCTCCACCACCACCACCCCTGCATCCTGGAAAAGAAAGCAGTAGGTTCCATCTTTTTGGGCTCCTAGCTAGTTACAGTTTTCAAAAACAGCTCATTCCTCCGCCTCAACACGTATTTCTGGGGCAAAGGGAGTTCAAAAGGCCAACCTCACTTCTCTGGATCTTCTGGATCTTGGCTAGCTGATTTTTATTATCTTGGTAGCTTTTTAATGATTTAGGGAATTTTTTTCCTTTTGCAGTGCTGGAGATTGAAACCAGTGAGCTACATCCCCAACTCTCTTTTTGAGACAAGGTCTTGCTAAATTTCGGGGCAGGAACTCGGAAATTCTCTTGCCTCAGCCTTACTTCCAAGGTTATGGACATTTGCCACTGTACCAGGCATTCTGGGAAGAAAATTTTAAAATATTTTTACTGAATTTTTTAGTTTGCTTCAGAGGGAAGATTGGTCCATATTGCTGCCTAGAAAAAGCCTGATACAACTTTGGATTAAAAAATATGGATTAGAACTTTGAGAACAGAGAGGACATAAGCAGAGAAATTATCAGAAAGTGATATACAAGGTCATTTGAGGGAGATGATATAGGGGTCCATAGAAAGATAAGATCAGAACAAAAAGATTAGTTTTATTGGTTTCCTTCTCTTGCTCCAGCCAGCATAAGGGTCAACAAACTTATTGGGTGAACGCTCATATTGTTACTTCTAATCCAAGTTAAATCCATGGCATTTCAGAAACAAGTAGCATTGTCTAACTTATTTAATTGCTTCCTTGTTGGGAAGCCTTCCATTCCAAATGCGAACTCTGCCAAAAGGAAAGCAAAACCTAAACCACAGATGTATTAACCCCCACTCCAGGAGCACTGAACCATTATCTCTGTTCTCAGAGAGCTACCCTCAACAGCACCAGGCAGTGGATGCATTCAGGACATCAAAGCTGAACTCCTGAGCAGAATCCCAGAGCTAAAGCAAATGGAACTCACTGGCTGCCTGCCGTCCAGGGCTGTAGGTGCTAGAGCCTTTGCTGAATAGAGACGAAGCCAGATCCTGCTGCTTGTCCAGCACAGCATCCATCCTGCACTTCTTTCCCTTTAGTGCTTTCTACTGTAGAGACTAAAATGGGGTAATATTCTCTGGCCCTGTCTCCCTGTATCTTCTAGTAGTCATGTGAAACAGTGCTGGCCAGTGAGCTGCGACCAGCAAATTGATGAAGCAGTTCTCAGGCTTTAGCTGTGCTAAAATGTGGCAAATGGAGGTGACAGTAATTCTAAACTTGAATGTAAATCTGTTACCTTGAAGCAACCTTCTTGTGACCCGTGAAAAGACACAAAAGGGAAAAGTCTAGTCAATTTCAGAGGCACCTGCCCTGATAACTGCTTTCTTCTTCCATGAGGAAAAGAAATTACAATTTGTTCAAGCTAAGTTTTCTATATGAAATGAAAACACTTCTACCCAATGTAGATGATTCTGAATGCCAGGACCCAGCATCAGAGTAAAACCATCTTTGGCTTTAGGATGAAAATATGATCAAATAGCAAATAATAATGGACACTCCTGTGAGCCTGGTAGTGATCTAGCTACTTGACAGTGTAGAGATCACCAAAGTATCAAGCACTGAAGCAAAGTAGCAAGCACAAATGAAATCTAATTATCAAGTGTTAGGAAAGCCTTTGACAATGTAATGGTTTGGGATATATTTTAGCCATGGCATCATTACAACCAATATATAAAACATAAAATCTCCTTCATTTTAAGGAAGATTACTGTCGAGAAACTTGACTTATTGGCCCCTCCACATCTTTGGTGATATGCAATTGAAAAATTCTGGTGTAGTCCTACATGTGATTTGACAGTCAAGGACACTGGAAACTTCCTTGATAAAATGGAAGCTAGCTTGTTTTAGGAGAGGTAGTAAGTTTGTGGTGCCCAAGTGAAATTGGCATCTGCACGACCATTTTCAGGACCATTTCTCACAGAGGTTGACGGAAGGTGGCAGATAATTTTAAGTTAAATTATATAGCAGTAGCAATAATGGATGTAGTAGTCAAATGCATGAGACATCAGGATGAGCATGAACAACGTCTCAACAACAATGAGACGTCAGGATGACCAAACTTCCTGCAAGAGGTCATGAAAGAGGAATAAACTCAAAATAGATGAGTGATTCCATTCCATCCAAGTATACTTGACAATGTCTAGAGTCAAACTTTGGAAAATCACAACCTGGAGTGGGTATCATCTAATGGGCTAAAGCCAAGAATACTGCCAAAAGTCTTATAGTGCCCATGAAAATTCCCCACAACAAAGAATGGTCCAAACCATAATGTCAATAATACCTAAGGTGAGAGACCCTGGAGTGAATGGAGAGAAAGCCAGGCAGAAAGAATTACCTGAGAAGATGAACAGAAGTAGAAGTGATGACTTCCTTGTGAACAGAGACTGGGTCTCTGGGTCTGTCTGTATCCCAACACAAACAAGTAGCTGCCTGTTAGCCAGGAGGGGAGGCACATGCCTGTAATCTCCGCATTTGGGGGGCTGAGATAGGAGGATTGCCACAATTGAGAGGCCAGCCTGAACTACACAACAAGACCCTGTCTCAACCTGCCTGCCAAAAAACGGGAAGAAGCACCTCTTAGCCTCTTACACTCATTTACACTCCTATACTCAGCCTGTTCTCAGTCGCCACAAACCCCTCTGCTAACTGGAGTCATGCGGCTGGGTCTCAGAAACTAGAGCAGGTGCCAGCCCTCACACTCACTGTGCAGGCAGGTGACAGGCGCTGAAACACTGCCCGTTTACATTTATAATTTTCAGGTCTTTGGGACCCGAAAGTTATGAATGTAACTTTGCTGGTTCTCCTGAGGCCCACATGTTCCCAGGATGGAACTTCAGGCCCTAGCATGTCCTGCCTTCTTCCGGATGACTCTTTCAGCTCAGTGCCCACCTCAGTGTAGGCCCAGGTCTGTTACACACCTGTGTGTGTACAGCCTAATAGAAGACGTCTTGAAATGCAGGCGCTTCCTAGACTGCCATACCGTGTACACAGAGTGGCCAGGGAAACAGCAAATGTGGACCTGGCCAAGCCTCAAGGCATCTGGTTCAGTAAACAGTGTATCCAAGAAACAGCAAAGGACTAAACAAGCGTCAGAGCACCCAGGGCCTAGGCACTTGGTCTATGGCCTGCCTCCACCCTTTCCTCTGCGTAATCCCCACCCAGCTTTCAGTCCTCCCTGCCCTGTTCCTTTACCTCACCAAACATAAGATTTGCTGTCGGTCACTGGCCCCTCTGTCTAGTACAGCTGCAGGGAGCTATATTCTCTTACCTTCAATTATAGAACAAAAAGAGCGGAAGCTACCCTTAACACAATTCATTTCAGGCTCTAGGGCACAGGCCAGGGTAGAAATTTGTAGGGTGCTTATGATAGATCTGATGGGATCTTTCCCTGGG